GTTATTCCGAAATTACTTTCATTATGTTAAGCTTCAATCTAGCTGTACATAACCATTCCGTGTTCGGGTATATTGGCGAAGTGATAATTTTACACCCATATATAACTATTCCATATTTTGGTGTATGGGGAAACAGTCTGATCTGCGTGCCCTAACTATTCTGTATTCGGGGAGTAGCAGTATTTCAAGGTACTTATGTATGTCATGTCGTTCCGTATTCAGGTACATGGAGAACCAATAATAAGTATCTGTACCTACGAATAATGTATGGTAACTGATTGATCCTCTATAATAATAATAAATAACACAACATGAATTTATTTTCTAATTTGTGTTTTTGTCTCCTGATTCATATCTGTTTTGAAAAAATTATATAATATATATTTTATTGTATGCGAAAAAACTATATATTGCATGTATTATACTGTGATTTCATAATATTGGTTATTGGGATATTTTATCTCATCCCTATATCATCTCCAAATATTGAAAATACCGATGTAGAGTGAGCGGTGATACGGAAAAATTTTATGAAACCTAGATTTTGATATTAAGGTTACTGTTTTATATTTTTATTTAGTAATGTAAGTAGGAAAATTTATAGTATGTTTATGTTTTATATTTAAGAAATGTAACATTTCTACAACTATTTTATGATTAATAAAGTTAAGTTATTATATGATTTATAGAAGTATGATCCGGTCATTATCGTATAAGATGGGATGTGGTCCGTGACAAATACTGCATAAGATAACAAAATAGACACTGCAAAAATAAAATAAATTAATAATTTTCTATTTTTTAAGTATTTAGTGATAAGCTAATATGTTTTAAATATTAACAATATATAATATAAATTATTAGCTTAGTCTCTAAATTTCAATTCATTGTTTACTTTCCTCCTAATTTTTAAACTTTTCAACTTCTTTAAAACACCATTTAGAGTGAATTATTCTAAAATATTTAAACAATTATTAAAAGTATTTTGAAGATTGGTGTTTAAATAATAATTGCTAATTGTTTATGGTTTTAGTTATCACTTATGGTAAATATTTGTTACATATACCTTTTTGTTTACCAATTATTTTTATTTTTATTTTTTTATAATTTTGCATTGTGTAATTATTATTTATTTTTGGTTTTTCATTTATCATTGATATTATTATCTATTATTAATCTTAATGTTACTAGGTACTTGATAATAGCAAGTGACAATGCGATTATTGATACGGGTAAACTATATATGGTAATAAATAGACAAAAACACCAACATATGATAGCTAAATACTGTGAGTTAACATTACCTTAAATGTGTATAATGTAATTTTTAGTTTTCATGATTACTTTTTTACGTTTGTAAATAACTAAATATAGGTAATTGTATGGAGGTAAAACTTGTGGATATTAATGGAAAAGAAAATGATAATTCAAAATTTGAAGTTTGTGTATGTCGTTTTTGGGATGTCTAGATTTTCCAAGATTGTATTTAATTACTTCTGTCTACATATAATATAATTTATTATCCACTTATACATAATTGCGGACATACCAAAAAGATTAGGCCTGGTGTCATTTTGTCGCAGTGAGCGGGTACGTGTAATATATTTATTTTAAACAAAACCTAATTTTAGTCATAAAATTATTTATTTATAAATATTTGATAAACTAATATAAATTCCTAGTCAACTTCTAAGTTGAAATTCCATGTTGGTCCACTAATATATAATTAGATAATAATTTGTTGTGCTTCAGTCAAAATCTCCACAGCTTGTATCCCTTGGTAGTAGAAATTCAATTCTTCATTTCCTTACAGAACATTTGCTATTCAAATATGAACATGCCATAGTCTATAATTCTCAGTTTCTTACCATGGAAAACGCTGCAATACAGACTTTTAGTCTCAGTGGGCAGTGCCGACTACCTATGCTGCCTTGGCTGTTTCACGAACCAGAGCAAGCTTAGCCAAAAGGCCACATAGTTGAAGATACGAACCAACTCCATCACAAATTCTCATATGTGCAAACCCAGTTTCCTGCAAACTCACACATAAAAACAAAATTAAATAATGACGATGACAGAGATTCAAGGGCCAAAAAAAAAACCAAGATTCAAGGGACAGAATGACGAAATAGTTGACCCGACAAGATTTGTCTACCTTCAAAAATTCCAATTTTAGGTATTCTGCCATATCATAATTTTTTATGATGCGAAAAAGGGTTGTGATGATGTCAGTGGGCGAGTAGCCCATATCATAGAGTTGCTTAAGACCATAACAAGCATCATCAAATTTCCCTTCAATTACGTTTCGAACCATGTTTTTCACATGCAGAGGATGAGGCTGGTCACAGACCTGAAACAGAAAGGAAATAATGAATCACCAAATATTCAGGGATAACATATTCATATTGATAATATTTCTAAGTTTACCTTGAAGACATTTTCTTGGCTAACAAACCGAAAACCACTAAATGTTGCTTGCAAATTATTCAGTGCTTGCCTCATGTCACCATCAGCAGTGAAAATAATGGCCTCAAGACCTTCTGGAGCATAAGGAACCTTTATGGATTAAAAACACTAGTCATTTAAATATTAAACATTTCCGCTGACTTACCAACCATAATAGAAGATGATATTCTGTCTTTCAATCTATGGGGAAAACCAAGCTTATAAAAGTAGTCCAGCAAAACTAGGAAAAAGAAAATGTCAAACAGCATATTCTTGTCGAGTTTAGAAGATACAGCCATAGATACTATCAAGCATAGCCAGAGAACTCAATTTATTTAAGCTCCAATTACTAGGTGAAACTTGGGAGTAAATTGTAACGCAATTTGCTTTGTGGTTAAACCATTTGCTTATCAAATGCAGAATTCATTCAATATGATGTCGTAGGAGCAATTAAACACCCTGTTTCAACTGGAATTCTGATGACAATGAATAAGACTTCTACATTGTAGAACTATATTTACTAAAAGCGGCATCTTCAATTCTCAAAACATACTATCGCAATGCAAATACTGATTTACCTATTTTGCAAATTAACACTGTTTCAGTACATCCAGTATCGTCCCACATGTATGACCATTTTGTCCACTCTTCGCATTAACCAACTATACTCTAATTAGAAGATCTCTTACTTGATGGAGCATATACATTACACAACCATGGTGACCATATGAAAGGCATAAACAATCTGGCAGTATCGTCCACATGTAAGAGCATTACGTCCATAAGTTGCATTAAACATTTATTCACAAAGTACATTTCCAAACTGATGGAGCATACACAAGTAATAAGGAAGATAAAGTGCTACAGTCCCATGTTTAGGATCAGATCATAGGTTGAGATACGTGGAATTAAGGGCTTAGGGGTCGTTAGAGGGAACCAATCAATCTTTAGAATTAAGGTACTCCACAACCAATTTTTAATTAATTATTCTCTCTTTATTTTATTTACGCAGACTCCTTATATATTTATAGGGAAGCTCTAGACTAAGCTTCCCTAATTTAATAACTTCCAGAGCACAAAAATTTCCTAGTCACAAGAATTTCCTATTTTATTCCAAAGTCCTAATTGGATAAAATTGTTAAGGAAACTTCTACTATTAAAGAACAAATTCTTATTTTATTCCAAACTCCTATCTTCAATATCCTCCTCCTCCGAATTAAACCTAAATTGGAGAAGCCTATGAAGATCAGCCTAGATTTCATCCCTCCTGTAGGGACCCTGGCCTATGATTCTCTTTAGCCTCGTCTTGTTAGGAACACAAGCGGAAAAATAATACATTTTGATTAGGTGTTTCAAAGAAGGAAATAAGAAATTATATAATTAGTAGATAGGTGTATGTGCTGAATTTTATGTGCTGTTTCTGTGTTGTATTATGTGTGTCGTGCGTTGATTATGGATTTACTAGATAGATGTAGGTGCTGCAGTAGGTGTGCAGTTTAGTGGGTTTATGTGTTGTATTTTTATTAAGTATTACGAACAGATGAGAAGTTGGCTGTTGAATTAACTCAAAGAATAATTGCTGCTTATTCATGATTTAAAAAAACCTATGCTGTCTCTGTTAAGTTTTCATACAGAAAAATTTACTGTTAAGTATTGGGTACTTCTTTAGTCAAAAGATCATAGGGTTCTCTCTCTTAAACTAAAGGAAAATGAAGCAAAACTCTAAAACATAATGAAGCAAAACTCAAAAACATCAAGAAGACCCTAAGAATTTCTAGGCCATAATTAGATCTATTAGTAGGGACCACAAGACTTCTTTTCTTTCTTCCGCTTTCTTCTTTTCCTTTGCCGATTCTTAGGACATAAATTACTTCCCTCTTCCAAATGCTTCTTTACGCAAGCACCAAAGATGGTGTTAAACAACCATCCCAAGTCTTGCGACGTAAATTTTTCTCCCAATGCAGCCTTGAGGAATAACCAAAAGATGTTGTTAAGCAACCATCCAGATATATCAATGATTAATAATCAAATGTCTTAAATCTAAGACAATGAAGAGGGATTTCTAGAGCTCTTGAGGAAGGAAGTATGACAGCATAAACATCCCCAAAAGCACACAGCTTCACAGTCCAAATCGTGGCCACCTTAGACATGTATTTATAAGCAGCTAAGTAAACTTACAACATTAAGAGGCAAAATAGTAGCAAGTAAAACACTATAGGATTTGGGAACAAATGATGAGAGGACAAAATGTTAAATAAAATCTACAACTAGCTTAGTTCATGCCCACATTGAATCTATTGTCTTAATACTTTATTTTACAGTAAAATAAGGGATAATGTAATCAAGGCACCAGCAGTTTGCGTCTCATGTAGGGAAAATATTTATAGCTCAATCAATGTATGTATAAGGTCACCCAAATCCTCAAAGAAAAGAGAGAATGACCCTTAAACAAAATGTCCGGTGGCAAGATTTCTCACTTTTGCCAAAAGAAAAAACCACATAATCACATCCTTAAAAGTCTTATGGTTCTTCTTGTTGCAAATAACCATCAAGGTTGCCCAGGGAATAAGAGAATAAAAGAGATTAGCTTCCCTTTCCTCTTATCACCCTGAACACTCTACCAAGCCCATAGCTAGTCCAAAGCCATAACCTAGCTCAGGTTGAGAAAGTGAAAAGTAATGCACAAAAGGCAGTACGAGAAAAGGCACCACATCAGCAAACAGTAAGGAGTTTCAATGAACTAGAATTATTTAACAATTTTAAGTTCATACTCCAAGACTAAGTTAAAGACCGAATATACTCGGGCCAGCAAAAACACGAGTATGCTTTTTTTTTTTTTTGAGGAACCATAACGTCAGTGTTTCAAAGTGAAATGAGAATATATGAATCAGTGAGATTCACCTCACTTGCTCCCCTATACATGGTTAAGAATAACAACTCACTTTTGATACCCACAGAATTTAGGATTCGGAAGGTGGAGGGAATTAATGGAATTATACAGTTAATGAAGTTCATGTTCACATTGAACTTAGTGTCTTCAACGACTAAAATAATTTAACAAGATTAACTTCATACTCAGCATGAGCATTCCACTTTGAGCTAACTGCCTAATTGTCCTTGTGTATGTAATATGGCTCAGTATTAAAAATCAAATATTTTAGTACCTTTTCTGCTCCAACCACCACCATGAGACGTCCAAGAATCTCTTGATCAGATAATCTTGAGAATCGAACAAGAGCACATCTACTCTGAATGGGCTCAATAATCTTAGAAGATGTGTTGCATGCTAAAGCAAAACGGGTAGAGTTTGAATATATTTCCATTGTGCGCCTCAATGCTTGTTGTGCTCCAGATGTCATGCTAATTTGTGCACAAAAATGGGTAAGTATCTTGAAAATTTTGGGACTAAAATAACCAAATGCCAAATTATCACCCAAATAACAAAGAAACTAGCAAGAAAAAAGAGCAACGTAACAATATAAAACTGCCAATAAGTTATACAATCATCATCTCAAGGCATTATGTCAATGCTCACCTATCGGCTTCATCAAGGATTACTATCTTATGCCTCCCGGGAGGAAGTGTTACTTTCTTTTGTGCAAACATCTTAATTTTGTTTCTTACAACATCAATTCCCCTGAGGGAAAGAGGAACATAACAAAGAGATGTTAGAAGATTTACAAAATCAGAAAGCTTAAAATCTTGATGGCAGCACTTCTTTCACCTGTCATCGGATGCATTCAGTTCCAACACAGCCTCTCTATAAGTTGAACCCAGAAGCTCATGTGCAAGAGCTAAAATGCTAGTAGTCTTTCCTGTTCCTGGAGGACCCTGAATAAACGATAACCACTTAGTGGCAGCTGAGAAATTTTCTGCTGACATCAGATACGCAGGAAAACCACATGCCCCTTTGCACATAACTTAACGCATTTGGTTCAATTCAATGCTAATTCTTTTACCACTTAATAATTAGATTATACATGAATTTTCATACAAGGTCTGAAAAAATCGAGTGAGAAATGAATGATAACCGAAGTGCATAAGAGTAAATCTACAACTCGTTCATTTGTAGTTACCACGCACTTAGTCCCCCTTTGCTAGCTCATTAAACAAGTGAAACTTTTGAGCAAAAACAAAGCAATCATATATTTACAGTGATTTAGGTCTCATGAACATTCTAAACCCAACACAACCATGGGAAAATTCACTTCTAAACTTCCACAAGAGCAAATCAGATATTTATCTTGAAAATAATGAACAAATCTGGGCGGGCCTGAGACGGAAGGAATTCCCATCAAGACTAAAGATATAGCTTCACTAAATTGGCATGAAAAGGAAACTGACAGACATTACACGCCCTCAACAAGTTTTTTCTTTTTTAATTATACACTTCGCAAAATACCTCAAGAGTGATTAATACGAAAATGAGAAGAAAAAGGTACAAATAAAAATGCTAAAATAACTGCTTTTGCCATGTGAGTGATACAATTTCTTTCTTCATCCTCACTGTCTATCTGATAATTACTAAAACCTTATCCAAAACAATATTCTTTGTTAAAAGCATGTAAGACGAGTAGAATTCCCAAAATGAATCTCAACCCACTCACCCAATCTAATACTCACAACAGCGTTCAGTGTCTAAAACGAACAACAATGACATTGTTAACACTTTCGAATTAACTAAGCAGATTGTGAATAGGAGTTAAAAGAAAGTGAAATTAGAAAAAAATTATCGTACAGAAAGTATTAGGTTAGGCATGTTGCCATCACGAGCGATGACTTGAAGCCTGGAGACTGCATCTTCGTTCCCTACAATATCAGCGACTTTACTGGGCCTGTACTTTTCCACCCATGGCATTTCGTAGCCGATACTCGTTGAGGACGAAGAGGACGAGGCCATTGCTGTGGTTTGAAGGGAAGCTTCACTGTGCACAGTCTCTTTGTAGAACAACCTTCCTCGCTTGACTTGGAGGGAAATTTTGCATCGAACCCAAGGTTTGCGTTTCGACCTCCTGGCGGTTCATTTTTCGTGCCGGCCATTTTTATTTTTTTTGCCAAGAAGGGCTTGTAAATTAATGAAATTACAGTCTGACTATTTTTCTGCAAGAAATCGTTGAATTAGCCCTTTTACTTTTGAAATTATGTTGATTATTGGCTCATCATTTTAATTTATTCTCTAAATTATCAATTACGTAATTATTCTAAAATATTTCTCTAATACTTTGTTTTTTTAATTTATAAAATAATTCAAAATTATAATATTAGAATTTAAAATATTTTTCGTTGTCAATCACGGCGTGACATGATCAATTAATTAAATAATAATATTTATTCCTTTGTGTATATCACCATGTAATCATTTATGTTGTACCATTTTGTTTCCAAATAATGTTTGATTGATTACACATTAATCAAATTTTGATGGCATGGTCTAAGATCATTGATGAAAAATATTTGTCCAAATCACTTTATTCTCTTTTGTTCAAGTTGCTTTCTTTTTGTCAATATACTTTTTTTGTCTAACTCCTTTTTTTTTTTTTTGCAAATTTTGAGATTATCCAAATTGATATGTTTCATATCCCATTTTATAAATTAAAAAATCCGAATGATAAACTATTCAATTAATTTTTAGAATTAATAAATCTTCAAATTGTTTATTTGATAAATCATTAATTATATTTTTTTATCATTTTCATAATTTATTTATTTTTAAAATTTTGTTCACATGTGATCTATAAAATAATAAATAATGATATTTTATCAAATATTTTTTGTATATCTCGTTGGTCTCAGTTTAAAATTCAATCACATTATATATTACTGTATGGTGCAAGAACTCATACATGCAATGAACTTCACCATTTATTATGTTTCCAAAATATTAAAAGTTTCTGTTTCTACCCACATGGATAAGTATATATAAGAATTCGTATTATATAGTGATAAATAATGAGATAAAATAGAGAATTTTTTTAAAAAAAAAATCTAGATAAATTTTTTAAAATATAATTAACCATTCGATACAAGATTATTTTTATAATTATATTAAAATTCTATATGGAAAAAAAAAGTGAAGAAAAGGTTCATCCTTAAAATTCATAATGTATTAAGTTGTTATATATGTAAAAATACCGATGACACATTATCTTATTAGTTATAACTATTTTGTTTATATATGAATTTTAGATTCTCACATAATTTTCTTCCATAACTTTTTATTTAAACTATATCTCGATTAAATATTTTTGTTATAAGGTCAATCTTCATATTACTTGCCAATCTCTTCCTTTAATTTGAATTGGATAAATATCTCTTTATTTTGAATTTAATTTTAAGTAAAAAAAAATTTAATAAATTTTAAAATCTTTAAAAGATATGATAATTTTTATTAAGAAAAAATAAAAATAAAAATTAAATATATTAAGATAAAACTAAGGGATAACAGTTATTCATATACTTAATGTGATAATATAAAATTTTTAAATACAAAAATAAATTTTAATTTAAAATTAAATTATTAATTATGCACCAAATAATTCATAATTCTAGAAATAAAATTAATGTAGCAATACCACTATGTAATTAATTTTTATAATTGGTCATAAATTCTGAAATCCCTATATGGATTTTTAGTTATCTATTTTTCTTGTTACATACTCATTTATCCCATATATCTTTCACTTAAAATTATTAAGTCTTTTGCTTTTATATAATTTTTGTTACCATAAAACTATATTTATGTCACTTTTTATATAATTATAAAAATTTATATTCTTATGAGTATAACAATGTGTAATAGTAATAGAGCGGTAAAAGTTCATTGAATGACAGATGGGTCAAGAAAGCAATAGCAGCAAGCTTTTGACTAGGGACTTTTTTTTTTCTGTTTTGGGAGTTTTTGTCTGCAACTGTGATTTGGATTTGCATATAAATAGGTAAAGATTGGATATGGTAGCCGAATGAACTGCGGTAGAAATGATCAAATATCAAAACAAACAGATTCTATGAAATCAAGAAATCCCGAAAAGGAAAATAGAAACTCAGAAAAGCAAGCTGTATCGCCCGCCAATTTCAATCCCAAACAAACAAAATAGCTGATAAAAATCCAAAATACCACTAAACCCATTCCTCTCTTTCCCTCTTTGATTAACAAATCCAGCAAAGTTTCCTCCTTTTTAAACTCCTCCTTATCCTCGCAGCGGATAGCTCTTCCTTGATTTCCTCAACATTTCCCCTCTTTCCCTTCTTCAACATCGTCTCTCCCAACAAGTAGTGATTTTTCTTTCTTTCTTCGTAATTCAGACTGAAAACTCTCTGGTAGGTATTGGAAGCAAATGGGTTCGTCCGAAAAGAATATCCTCGTCACTGGCGGTGCTGGGTTCATTGGTACCCACACTGTGCTTCAGCTCCTCAAGGAGGGTTTCAAGGTTTCAATCATTGATAATCTTGACAACTCTGTCGTTGAAGCCGTCGATAGGGTTAAAGAGTTGGCGGGTCCTGAGCTTTCCAAGAAGATGCAGTTTCACGTGGTATGGGAACCCATTTTCCCTTTCTTTTTTTTTTTTTTTTTATGTTTGCTTCCCAAGAAAACTTGGGAAGAACTCAATTCTCTTGGGATGCTTGTTTTGTTTTCTGGGAGACGTTGGAAGAGGAATTTAGTTATACGTAATTAGTTGGTTCAGTTGGACAGTAGATTTTGTTTTCTTTGGGTCTGAATCTAATTTAGAAGAATTTTTCACTCTTCCTTTTGTCTTGACGATCTGGTTCTTTCTTTGATTTTCTTTTCAAGTCGTTCCTTTGATTTTGGTTGCAGGGTGATCTGAGAAGCAAGGCAGACTTGGAGAAACTATTTTCTGGCACCAAGTATGTGAATTCAACATGAAATTTCTGGGTTTCTTTTAATGTTTTATTATGAATTGCCATCCCCCACAGTAACGGAAATGATCCTATACTACTCGAATATATATAAAATTCTTTTATAATTCTGCTAAAATGTTTCAGAGAAAAAATCAAATTTGGTCTTTCATGTATTGAAGTTACTGTATCAGAAGTACCAAATTTAACTTCAGATCCAATCATCAGTGTGATATTTTGCTCCAGAGAAAGAAGTGTACTCTTCAACTATGAAAGAATATCTTGTATCTTATAAAAATTCTTCCTGAATTATGGAATTACACTCTGTTATATTTTGGAAATGGTCACTTTCTGTTCTAAATGAGACAGATTTGATGCTGTGATCCACTTTGCTGGCCTTAAGGCTGTCGGGGAGAGTGTTGCAAATCCTCGCCGTTATTTTGACAATAATTTGATTGGCACAATCAATCTCTGCGAGGTCATGGTAAAATACAACTGCAAACAGGTGTGCCGAAGTTTTTTGTTCAATCTTTTAGCATCTAATTATTTTGTGCCAAAGTTTTTTTTTTTTTTCAATCTTTTAGCATCTAATTATATTGTTGCAAATCATATTAGGAAGAAGTAGGACTTCTACATTCCTGTTGATACTGTCTTGGACCAAGAGCATTAAAATATAAAGAACTGCTTATTATTTGTTTAATCTCTTTATGAATTCTTTATCTCCATTTATGGAAATATTAGACCTTAAACATATGGAGGAATCTAGCTAGTGGAACAAGTTTTGTATTTTCGCTTGTCTTGTCTCCCATTTAGCCATAGGATTCTTCATGTTAACAAACAGTAGCTCTCCGGTTTTTGTTTTGGCTTGAGGAACCTACGTTTCTGCTATCTTTCTTTTCAAGCATACATCTAAGCAAAGAGATTTTTTGTGGCTCTGTTTTTAACTTCTTTACCTTGCATTGATCCCAACTTAGGCTCTGGCTAGCTTTAATCGTACTGATTTTTGTCTTGAAGGAGAATCTATTACCTTAAAATTTTTTCTTGGTCACTGGTAATTAGTTTCTTTTTCTCTTCTCTTTTATCTGGTAAATAGATGGTGTTTTCATCATCAGCAACTGTATATGGTCAACCTGATAAGATTCCTTGTGTTGAGGATTTTGAGTTGAAGGCTATGAATCCCTATGGACGGACCAAGGTATACATCGATTTCCCTAAAAAATATTTCTTATTAAATTTCATTTTCTTTCATTTCAAATGGCTGTATATAAGCTCACATGTTAATCATTTGACAGCTTTTCCTTGAAGAAATTTTTCGAGATATTCAAAAAGCAGAACCAGATTGGAGAATTATTTTACTGAGGTATTTCAATCCTGTTGGGGCTCATGAGAGTGGTAAACTTGGTGAAGATCCCAAGGGTATCCCTAATAATCTCATGCCATATATACAACAAGTAGCAGTTGGCAGGCTGCCTGAACTTAATGTTTACGGCCATGATTATCCCACAACGGATGGTAGTGCGGTACGTATATAAAAGAATGTTGCTCTTTTAATGTACGGTTGAGTAGAAATCAATTTTTTTTTTCATGGACCTGAATTATCTTGTTTTTGTGCGTTAGAGAGAAGCTATTTATATCCTACAAGTTAATGCTTCTGAACTGCTCATTGCTCCTATAAACAGATCCGAGATTACATCCATGTTATGGACTTGGCTGATGGTCATATTGCTGCCCTTAGAAAGATTTTTGAGGATCCAAATATAGGTGCTTGCAAACTTTTTCATTTCAATGTCATTGGCTTTACCTTGTTAACTGTTATTAATATATGCAAGCCTTCGGTCTCAAAACAGTTTATCTGGGAAATTTTGAAGCTGATGAAATTTCCAATATAAAGAGCTTTTTGATAAATTTATGACATTATTATATATACTAAGGTTGCACTGCCTACAACTTGGGGACTGGATGCGGCACATCTGTGTTGGAAATGGTTACGGCATTTGAGAAGGCTAGTGGCAAGGTGACTTGTCTTCTCCCTCTTTCTGTCTCTCTTTTGTCTCTCTCATATATGTTCAAACATCATTTTTCCTTTTGGTGAAAAATTGCAGAAAATCCCAGTTAAACTTTGCCTAAGAAGGCCTGGAGATGCTACAGCTGTATATGCTTCCACAAAGAAGGCTGAGAAAGAACTCGGTTGGAAGTATGTAATTTGATACATCAAACTAAAATTCTTCTAAGTTCTTTCCCATCAGATGTCACAAATCAGTTACTAGTATTACTGATTTAACACCATGATAAGAGGTGGCTTGATTTTCATGTGTCGGGGAAAAAATGCAAACTTTTTAAGGAGAAATCGACCATTCCCTATCTTACTGGAACAGCTGATAAACCTGTTTCTGATTATTCTTTATAAACAATTGATACACACACTAAACAGTTAAGTCCTTAATTCCAGTAAATCAAACATTATAGGTTGGTCAACTTCAGCTTATAATACACCTACAAAATGACGAAATTTATGTATTCAGTAAAATCTGAAATTGTGACTTTTAAATAAAACATAGATCTTAACTACGAGATTGCTTGTGTTATTAGTTAATCAGAAGTTTAATAATCAATAAATTTTGTTTAAAGTTTTTAGTTGTAAGTATTTTTCATGCTTTTGTCAGGGCAAAGTATGGTGTGGAGGAGATGTGCAGAGACCAGTGGAAATGGGCAAGCAACAATCCATGGGGATATCGGTCAAAGCCTTGAATGCGATTGTACTTACTGCAAAATTTGTATTGATTTGTATCGATCAATGATCAATAAAAGAAGGAAGAGATGAATTATTTCTACATTCATTTTCCTTAACTGTCTTTCAAAGAAATTTCGCATTGGAGAAACTAGAATTTTCGTATTATTCAGTTGAAGGGATAAATTCTTTTGTCAGCAAGCACATATGGTTAAATGAAGGTTCATTGTTGCTTGCCCTATTATTTAATGATACTGATACTGATCATCTTTGTTTTGATTATTATCTACCTTTTTAGTTGTAATTGTAGATGGAGTAGGCCAACCAATAAACGTTTGCCACATCTTTAAATTAAGTATGCAAAGTTATTGTGCTTTTCAAAAAGACATTTTATTACCGAGCTTTGTTTCTTGACAAATTTAAAAATACAATTCTATCTTAAGTAATATTTTTTCTTAGTAAATGTGTTAGTAGAATTAATAAAAGAAAAATTATATCTCATCTTTTTTAAGACTTTTGAATAGTATGTTATCTCTTACTCATTTAAAATAAAATGTAATATCATAAGATCAATTCAACAAAAATAAAAAAAAAAAAAAATTTATTTTTGAACGGTCCTATGCGATAAGGTAGACGAGTTAGAGATACTTTTTGACGAAGAAGAAATAAAATCATCTGGATATGGAGGTATCTGATTATTGCTAAATCAATTTAATGGTGAATATCCACAAGATAATAATTGAACTTTTATCTTTATTGAAACTTTAAACTGACATCATTTTGTTAACTATAGTGTTTTCATGGGAGGTAGATCAATTATAGACCTACTATTGGTTATAGATGAGTTGGTGGAATTGACTAAAAAAATAAAAGAAAAATGATTGATCTTAAAATTAGATTTCGAGAAAGTATACGACTAGAAAAATTAGAGATTTTTTTTTAATAGTCATGAAGTGAAAGGGTTTGGAGTCAAATGGAGGGGGTTGAATTCAGTCATATCTAAAATTCACTTTGTTTACCATAATTAATGACAAACCCCAATATTGGTTCAAGGCTTCAAAGTTTAACACAAGGAGATTGCCTCTCATCCTTTTTGTTCGCCATAGTTGTTGATGTAATGAGTAGGATGTTATCCAAGGCAGTAGAGAAAGACATGGTGAAAGGCATAAAGGCAGGGAAAGATAGGATAGAAATTTCCCATTTACAATTTTCAATGATATGATCTTGTTCTTACAATATGATAACAAATCCCTTAAAAATGCATTCACACTCATTCAAGTATTTGAGAGCATCTCTAACTCGAGAATAAATTTGTAGAAGAGTGATTTAATTGATACTGATGTAGAGGACAAATAAATTGACCACCTTGTGAGTTGCATAGGTTGTTCCTTGCTCCATAGTCTACTTAGGTGTCTACTTGGAGAGAAACCCAGGGAGAGGGGTGCTTTTTGAAAAGGTGTTGAGAGCAAATGGCTAGGTGCTTAGAAAATTAGAAAAAATAGATTCTTCTTGCTAGGAAGGAGGGTTACTTTGATTTAAACTTATCTAGCTAGAATTTTTATTTACTGTTTCTCTTTGTATGAAAACTCTTGTGGGATGAGAGATTATAGAATTATATGTGGAAGTATTATGGTTTGATGTGGGAAAGGAGAGTAGGGACATCCAGTGAAGTGGGAGGGGTATTGTCAATCCAAGAATTTAGGAAGATTGGGTATTGGGAATATGATATCAAAGAGCATATATCAACTGATTAAATAGTTTTGACATTTTCCACGAGAATCGAACTCTTTATAATACATAGTGACTAAAAACATCCATGAGAATGAAAGGAAAAGGTCCCGTGTTTGCTGTAAATTTCACAATTCACCATATTCCCAAAAAATCCACATGCTTTATTTACTCCACCAACTCATTTTTAGATGAAAGATGGGATCTATGTATTGCTAATATATTTTGGAGCCAATTCTTCTCTCACATCAACTTACAACAAATTATAGGTCTTCGAGCCATGAGGGTTATATACATGTAAACCTTTTTTTTTATTATACCACAAATAACCTCTTCCTAAGTTGATTTTTTTACTGTTAAGATATTTTGAAAAATTCGAGTTCTATTAAATGTAAATGTATTCTCATAAATTATTATCATCCATTAGAAGCTTAATATAATATGTTTCAAGTTTGTTGTTTGCACCGAGCCTTATCTATGAATATATGCTTCATGTGCTTTAGAGAGAGAGGAGATCAACTCTCACTTGTTTTTATGTTGTGTCATCACATAGAAGTTTTGGATGAATTCAGTTAGTATATTTCACTTGAATTGGGATGCTCCCTTTCTCCCTCCCTCATATCCCTTCCTCCTTTAGCAATGAGCTATATATGTTGGACTATCGTGCTTATGGTTATCTCAAAACTCACATCTTTAAGGATGATCATAGATCTTGTTATGAATTATGAGAAAGAGTAATATTTTTGGATTAACATTTGGCTAAAGCACATAAACGCTATCATAACACTCGGTACTTTATTGAAGTTGGGATGTTATTATACGTAGCCTATAAGGAGATATCACTTTGTAATAGTTTTTTTTTTATTTTTTTATTTTCATAATATTTTAAGAAGAATCTCTTATCATCTAATTATACATTGTATTGTTTCTTTTTCTTCCTAATAATTTTTTTTTTATTGTATCTAAAAAATTATTATAAACTAAATTATATAACAAGTCAATTGCTATACTCCACCAAACAGATTAAATGGTATGAGGTCATAGACATTTTTTTTTTTAAAAAAAAGCACCCATTTTAGTTATGTTACTATTTTTGAGTTAAAAAATGTTTTAAAAATTGACTGAAAATATTTGACCAGTGTGTGCATTTGACTTTTGTGAAGATCTTGAGAAGAAACAAGAAGGCTTCTTTGAATTTGCATGAAACTAATCTTGAAGCTGTTATTTCAACAAACAAACTAACAACAATTAAAACCAAAATTTGAAGAGGGAAGAGAAGATTCGCAAGCATATCAGAAGGAATAATCTTGAGTTGAAAAGAGAATCAATGAGAGGAGAAAGAAATGATACGCTGGTTACTTGTGAAACCATGGCGGCTGTAACATCATCACCTACTTTTCGTCCTCATCACCAATCATTACAAACTCCATCACCATTTTCCATTTCTTCCACCTCTGCTACAAACTACACCTTCATACTTTCTTTTCATGGCTGGAACCTGGTTCTTCGTTCCTTGGCACTTGTGCTCTCCTTTGTCTCTGCACTTTCAATGGCGGTTCCATCAGCAACCAACACTGCTCAACAACAATCTTCCAGCTTCACCACCTACCCAGAACTGGTGTAAGTCTAGCTTTTGTTAAAGGATTTGACTGAAAAAGATGAAAGATACAAACCCAACAACCAAAAGTTAGCAGAAAATTATAGATATAAATTTTAAGGGATCATTTCCTTTTCTCCTACTGTTTACTCTTGAAAGAATAATTATGACTGAATTTTGCATCATTATGAACAAATTAACAGTTGGGTTCTAATTCGAAGGTAATTTGTCTTGGTGAAGAATAGGTTTTGCTGTAGTTGACTCTTAAGTGGCTTGTTTCGTAAGATTAATCAATGGTCAATCAGTCTTTACAAGAGAGAAAATATCGAAAACTTAAAAAAGATAAGGAAAAGATGGAAATGGTGATTTGATGGGTAAGAATTAATCATAATTTTTGTATTTAATAAATAATTAATTCAATTTACACATATCTTTAATTCCATAAGTTAACATTTTATGTTTGAGTAAATAATATCTACACCTGATAATTCAAGATCGTCAGTATAAGGTTGTAGTAATTATTGGCTCTCTGGATATAGGTACTGTTTCGTTGTGGCTATTTTGGTTTTTCTTTACTCAGTTTTCCAGCTCTTTAAGGGTGTATGTGACATTTCCCACAGAGGACTGCTAGTATCAGATAAGGTCTTTGATTATACCAGTTTCATACTTGATCAGGTAATCCAGCTCTCATTGCATTTAACATTTATTTTCAATTTACCTTTTACTTCTCAAGCCTAACTTTTTACATGCATGTAACAGTTAGTGGGTTACCTCCTGATTTCATCTTCCTCCATAGCAATACCAGTCATCCAACGTGACCACCAAGATGCCACACTTATGAAAGCAGCCATCTTTGCGGCTGCCATGTCCTCCACTGCTTTTCTAGTGATAGTGATCTGCGGTCTTTTGTCAGGATACAAGCTTTGCAAGAGAATCACATGGTGACTCTTCAGATTTCCAGTGCAAATAGTGTTCATGCAAAGTTTTCAATCGCATTAGCTCGTGTAGCATCTTTTTGAAATGGATAAAAACATATAATGTACCAGACGTTAGTCAAAGTACAGAAACGCTCATGTGCATCTTTTTTTTTTAATCAAGGTAATTTCCTCAGGATTACATGCCTATCATGTGGATAGGTTACCTGAGTCATTCGCTCCTTTTATTTCCGTTTTCACCTGGGTCTCCTGGAAATTTCCAACATACTCTTTATCTGCTTCTGAATTAAGCTTTTAGGTTTATCACAAGGCAATATCATATATCAAGCTTCACAGAAATGTATGCAAATTTGATTCCTAATAGATACAGATACTGACATGGCCTGTAATCTTTTACCTAGCTTGAGAAAAAAAATAAATCACGAAGCGACCTTGAATATCTGATTAATTCTTTAGATTCAGAGATGATAAATCCAAAGAACCGAATAGGTATCACCTTGCAGCATCTGAAGTTTTCTCTTCTTTGGTGACAACAAGCTTTCCCTCGGTAAATTCACAAGCTGGAATGGGGACTCCAAGCTGCTTTTGCAACTTCTTCACAACAAAAACTTCTGGTTCCTCACATATTGTGACCACAGTACCCTTCCTGCCAAGCCTACCTGTTCGGCCTGCCCGATGTGCGTAGTGAATTGAGTCAGTGGGCAAGTCTAAATTAACCACAAGATCACAATCTGCCACATCCAAACCCCTTGCTGATAGCTCATTTGTTACTAGAACTCTCACCTCCCCACTCTTGAATCTTTTCAATGTTGTAGACCGAGCAAGCTTTCCAAGATCCCCATGTAGCTCTGCCGCTTTCATTCCTCGAGCCTCTAGCTTGAAGACTGCATCTTTTAGCTGTCTAGTGTTGTTCATGAAAGCTATTACAGACTGTGCATCAAGTGCGTGAACACATCTTTTTTAATGCATCAACCTTGTGTTGCAATTTTGTCACGCAATAGTAATGCTTCAAAGCTGGAGGTAGGCTCTGGATTGCCGTTTGTGCCTCCACTTTGAATTTGTCTCTGTGGTCAATGGCCCTGACAAATTAACAGGCCGAGATATTGCAAAGGATTCAAGTGGGATCACTTTTTTGGCTTGAACAAGAAGTGGGCCACGGCCCCAGCTGCTAGCTGCCCTAATTACTGAAAATGGCACTGTTGCAGACACCAAAACTGTCTGTCGTTCAACCCTCTGAGAATGCTGGCTCTTAGGTTGAAGTGGGGCACCCGACCTCCTCCCTACATGCTCTAATATTCTATGCATGTCATCACGGAAATTAAAGGAGAGAAGCTCATCAACTTCATCTAAGACCAAAATATTACAACCATGAGTGTGAAGCTTCCCAGCTGTGCTGATCTCTGCTATCCGACCAGGCGTTCCAACAACAATTGCTGGCTTGTTTTTCTTGAGGGCTTCTTCCTGCCTAGATCGGTTTGCACCTCCTACAAGTTGCTGAACTACTTTCCTGTTTTCAGGTCCTAGCAGTTTCTCAACCTCCCTTACAATTTGCATTGCCAACTCCCTTGATGGAGCCACAATAACAGCCTTTATATGATCTGTTTTCTTCCCAGCTTCATCATCAAAACTGGAAGATTTATTCATCAGTGGGCCAACTTGAGACAATATAGGGAGGAGATAGGCCAGGGTTTTTCCAGACCCCGTGTAAGACTGAATTACAACATCATGACCCTTGAGAATTGTAGGAACAGCTGCAGATTGAACATCAGTGGGAATTGTGAAGCCTTCGGATTCTAACCTCTCTAACAGAAGACGAGGGAGGCCAAGCTCAGAAAATGATTTTGCTGAAAATAAAGAAGGGTCTATTTCAACAGGTATTTTAGCTCTGACAGCCTTGCTTCCGCTGCTCCCAACAGCTTTCACTTTGCTTTTGGGGACTTGGGTAGAAGAAACCAGTTTCTCAAGTTTAGTCGTTGCTCTCTCATTTGTTTGTTCAAAACTCTTGAACGCAAGGCTTGCAAGAGTGAGAGGCCCATGATCATGAACAACTCGAGACACAAAACGTACACTATGGCAGCACCAAGTTATTCTGGAAAGAGGTACTGACTTTCGGAAAGGTAACGACTCCCCAGCAAGAAGAAGCAATCGAGTTGACATTAATGAGGCCATCTTTTTCCTTTTATTATTCACTTACGAAGAAACTTGTTTAAACAACTGATCTGAGCAGTGCTTGAGAATCAACGAAAACTGAACGCATTTAAAGCTTAAAGGTGACGATTTCCCTCAAGCTGCAATTCCGAATTTCGAAAGTTTCAACATCTAAGCAATTGTTATAACATATAAACATTTTATAAAGAAGATTTCTGGGTTTGAGAACCGAAGAAACAACTAATACACAAGTCGAACATATTCTGCATGCATGCATACTCTACAAAATACACCAAAACAAACACCTCTTTCCTTTGGTTTTTGTCCTTAAAAATAACAAAGCAAACAGAAATGCCACACCCCTAATATTGAAAACTTTTGTCAAACAGGTGGAGAGCATGAAATATGAAATGGATGGACCCAACCGGTTTCCTTTTGGCAAAAATTAACAAAAAAACCTGAAACTCAACTTTTTAAGATCATAAAAATCAATTAATCTCAACAATATCAACTCGAATTAAATCTTCTAATTCTAATTTATGCAGCGAGAAAATTAAGTAGAATTTTCATCCTTGAAATTAGAAGATAGAAAATTTTCATAAGAGGGAGAAAGAGATGTATACATACACACTAACCGAACCACCATTGTGGCTCTGTCGCCTGCGATTTAAAGTAGACAAGCAGAAGCGAACTGTACATCGAGAGGACTGGTTTTCTCAAAATCTTCTTCCAAGGCAGCGAGTGAAATATATACAAGCACATGTATGATTTGATAAAAGAACTCTCAGAACGACATCGTTTGATAGTTTTTACGTAATACACATTTTTTTTTTTACAAAATGGATAATCGAAGAAAAAATGTATAATAATTTAGAATATATATATATATTTGTTTAGTTCTAAAAAATCATATAATTTTATGTATACAATAAATTTCATTTCAGGAGATAAAATATAATTTACCGGTTTTTAAAAAGTAAAGGTACTTAGGACACACTTTTCATTATTGCATATAAAAGCCAATATATTTACCCCATGCATATATAGTTGGTATTAAGGCTTAAAAAATACTACTTTTCTTGGGATAGATATATATGATATTCAATTATAAGGGTCTTTTGGTAAGTATCTTATACATTAAATATAGATATTTTCTTAGGTTTGCCTAAAAAATTTTCTTTATAAATATTTTGGTTTTAAAATAGATAATAATTTTTAATTGAGATATGAAAATAATTTTAATATGTAAAGACTAATTCAAAAATATCTTGATTGCTAACAACACAAAAAATTATATTATTGTAGTTTTTTAGCTTCTAATAATACATTTAAATATTTTTATTATTAATTTGAAATAAGTGAATAAATACTATACACTTATTTAAGTCAAAATAATAAATACCCTACATATCAACATCTTGAGTTTATACAATTTACCATGACTTTTGGCTAGAGATTTTGCTTGTATGTACTTACACATTTTACACGTGTGTTAAAAGTGTGCCCTATTATATTCAAGATATAAATAAAAACCCAATTATGGAGAATCATAATTAATAAGTAGTCATATTGCTAGAAAAAGGCAATGGGATAAATAGTAATTGATATTTAAGTAGAATCTTCTAATTCTCGTTAGAGTTCAAATTAGATAAATTCTCTTCCATCATAATAAATATAAGCACGTCTTTACATGCGTGAAGTGATAAAGAACATGATTAATGATAATTTATCCAACGTAATGGTTAACATTAAAGTGAACACTAAAAGTTGTGCCTATAATAGATAGAAATAGATATTGGGAGCTTAGAAATAGTTTCCAATAATATATTATGCCATAACAATAAGAGTATCTCAAGGCATGGGGTAAGAGAAAACTCAACTCAGTGATGAAGTATAGTAAAATACTTTTCTGTACGTAGCAAGTGTACATTTCTTGTAGCAGACGTATGCATGCCTTCGACATGTATGCACCAATTGTAACATTTCGAGTCCGAAAATTAGTCTCGCAATGATGGAATTTAGTTTTTCTAAACAATAATAATGTATAAGTTTTAATTTTAATTTTTTTTTTTAGATATATGTATTTTGAACAAATCAAAACCAAACTAAAAGTAAGGGAGAACCTATTTAAAAAGAAATTCAAAAAGAATGGGTCAATTCGCGAAAAGAGAAGAAACAAGCCACATGGATGCCCAGTCAGCAGCACGACGAATCGCTGCACGCTGCGTGGCGGCCACACCGACACATACTCCACACAGGAAAGCCACGCTGGCAATCTGCGTGCCAGACCGATCAAACGGTTCAGGACCACTCTTGGGCGCGGGAACGATCCATATCAATTCCCCGAATAAGCCTGATTGAACGATTCATGTCACCCCACGCGAATCCGAACGGACGACCCAAATCAATTCTCCGAATAAGTCTGATCGAATGGTCATCCACGCTCCATGTTGATGCAAACAAACGCTCAGGATTAGAGGAAGAGAGGTATTTAAAACTCTCTTCAGCCGATCCCAAAACCCTAGCCGACACAGGGTCACCAGAGAAGAAGAAAAAGGGCAGCCGAAAAAGAGCTCAGCCACTGTAGAGACGCCGGTGCCATCGTGTTGGAAACCCAAAATGCGTCGGTAAGCCCAGATTTTCTTCTCGTTATTTTTGCTTCTCTGTCCTTAGCTACCTAACATGTTTTCGATGCAGGATGACTGAGAGAAGCTGTAAACCGCGAGGGAGGACGGCAGAGCTCGGTTGAGCCACCACACCAAAGAACTAAAACTGCTGGTAAGACCAAATTTTTCTCATCCCTTCTCTAAAAACACACCCTACCCATGATTTAAACATATTTCCTCCAGGAACTGACCAAAATTAGTTCGACCGAGAGGGAAAAGGGCCAAAAAAAGAGGAACAGACGGCGGAGCACAACAGCGCCACCGTGCCGGAACTGCAATCCGACTTTCGGTGAGATTTTTTGCCTTTTTTCGCCATTCCTTGCGTATTTTCATACTGTTTTGATATACATTTTTAAATTTTACCAAAAAAATCCAAGAAATCAGAGAACAAAAAATCGTCAAGAATTGTAATGAAAAAGGCGGTGTCCTGGACACCGACCTAATGTAAGAATCCCTCACTATTTTCTCATGTTATGACTAAATTAGAGTTAAATCAATAATAAACAAAAAATTATAAATAGTTTAGCGATTCCTTGCTTAATTAAATACAGGTTGCCGATGGAGCCAGTAATTGATATGTCCATGTTCGTCTCTGGTTTATTGCATTGCCTATATGTCATTTTTGCTTCTATTTTTATTTCATTTTAATTGCTTATTTATACTTCATTTTAGTTGTCTTTATTTGCGCTTCATTTTCACTTTCTACTTGTTGAAATCCCACATTGAGTTATTGTTTCATTTTATTATTCATGTTATTAGGACATGCGATCCTTTTATTCTATTATGAATTCATTTTTATTTAACGTTTTTATTTCTTAACAATTTTGAAGCATGAATTTTGCTTTCTTATATTTTTGAAGTATGGGTTTACATAGAAAATATGCATGCATAAACTAATAACGTTGATACATAGGGTGAACTCTACCGTGAATGTTATCCTCAGCTGTATGGGGTTGAGAAGTCCCATACCGAATGGGGTTGGGAGTTTATAAATTTCACTCAGACCGGACATGGTATTGAGATGGTTTTTAGTTGTGGCGCTCATTACTAGAAGGGGTATGGGGATGACCGATTTAATTTCAAAGAAAGTGTATGTATCCATGTATAATGAGGATCCCTATGGACCCCTAGTGATACCGGTAGAGAAAAGTAAAATAATAGGGTAGTGATGGGTATGGTACGAAATCCAACTTTGGGCAATAATTAAGAATCAAACATTATATACCTATTGAAATTTATACTATTTATAATTAAATTATTATTAATGTATGATACTCGAGAAGTTACATGTTAGGGGAAAAAATAATAACGTTTTCAGTGAAACAAGTAATAAATGCATTGACATTTGGATTTTATTAAAAGTATGCTCTATTAGTAGTTTTATATTTTCTACAATCTTTTGACTTTTTGTGTTAGCAGTAAGGTGTTAATATTCTTACTGAGATAATGTAGCTTACCCCTTTCTTATTAACCATTATAGATCATGACAACTAAGACCCAGAACCTGAACAACAAGAGACCAGTTAAACAATTACATTTTCTTCTTCGTCAATTTCGAGTAGAGGTTAATAATATTTACTGTTAATGTTTTTTCCGTTTCAAGTTCAGAAGCATTCTCATATCCCCTATTTGGGTGTTCTAAGTAAACATGCAAGGAATGTAACTTTCTAACAGTTAATTCTTTTGCTAAATAAAAGAATTCGGTATTATTATGTTTGTTATTACCATTATCATTATCATTATTGTTTTAAAATCCTTAAAATAACTGTTAAGGGTTTTGGATCTTTACAATTGGTATCAGAGTCGTGTTCCTCAGAACCATTCATTACACATAAGGTTAGAATTCATTTATTGCAACCCGAATCTCAAACCATTGTTATGAAATATTGGTAAGGAAGCATGAAGAGAGTAAGGCTATGCTAAATAGAGCAGCTCGGGAGGGATCACTTCGGGAGGATGTTAATTGGTTCTTCGAGATGCTTGAAAGACTGATTTCTGCCAGAGAGAAAAGAGTTGTCTGATCCCCTTCAACCCCTGCCACAACATGAGCCACCTCTATATAGAAAGGATCCAGTACCCCCACGGTATAATCTAGTTCCTCCACAGTACCATCCGACACCACCGCAGTATAATTCGATGTCTTCATTCTACAACCCAGTGCTGCCACAGGGCCACCCAGTTCCTCCCCAGTATATACGAGTTTCCCTCCAGTAGGACCCAACTCTGCCTATGATGGACTCAGGTTACATTGAGAGATACAAGAGACTTAAGCCATCTATTTTTGCAAGAGTATCCACTTTTAAGGAAGCTGAGTGCTAGTTAGCAAAGACAGAGAAGGCCTTCCCGACACTTGGGGTGATTCCTGAACAGAAGGTCGTCCTTACCACATATATGCTCGTGGGTGAGACAAAGGATTCGTGGCAACTCAAGCAAGCTACTCGACCCACTTAAGTCACTTGGGAATAGTTTTTGACAACCTTCATTGCTGAGAACCTTTTGAAACATCTCCGACATCTAAAATAAATGGAGTTTGTGCAATTGGTCCAATGAGATTTTTTAGTATCAGAGTATGCTTGAAAATTCCTTGAGTTAGGTCGGTACTCCCCTAAGACAATCATAAATGAAGGTAGGAAGGCAATAAGGTTTAAATTGGGTCTTCGTTCTGAGATCAGACAATAACTATATGTGTTCGAGTTTAGCACTTATTTAGCAGTCTTGGCTAAGATACAGTTGATCGAGAGGAACATCCGTATTTTTTCCTGAGCAATGGGGAACTCCAGGCCCTCGATTCAGCATCACAGTCCAGCACCTACAGCACTGAACCAACAAAACAAAATACCAAGACCCACATCTCAGGCTCCTCTCTATTTGTTAGCACTGTGACAAGGATCACGAAGACCGACCCTATTATCATCTCAACAATACTTGTCATATATACGTGAGAGCCTAATACTACGCGAGGGAATGCCAGAGAAATCAGAATTAGGCTAGGCCTGCAATCTAGGGCAGATTCTACACACTCACCCAGTAGAATGCCGAAGCCAACCCAGATGTGATTTAAGGTACGTATATTATCTGCAAACATTTTACA